AGTTTCTTTAGTAATCACTAGCCAATCAACACTGGCAGTATGCGTTGGAATTCGATCTTAAATGACCTAGATTATAATAGTTGGACTGTGGTTCTCGTCTATTGCTAGACTTCCACCACTAATACAGACTTTCGTGCATGGTATAGCTAAGTGTGTTAAAAGAAGTGATACCTAAACAATCAGTTAATCAATCTAAGTATATTCAATTTTGTATGAATACCTTATGCCAAAATGGAGGAAAAAGAAAATACAATGACTAAAAACGACAATACATCTCCAGACAAGATTAAACTACAAAGAAAGCAAAAGATTGAGAAACACGAACATCTCCCTAAAATTGGCAGTTTTTTTCAAATTTTGAACAGGGTTGGAAAAGTATTACCCGGACGGGATTAACAGGTTGGATAAAACCAAGGGTTTCCCGGTCTGCAAAATACTCTCTAAAACCGTAAATACTAGGCTTTACTGGGAAATTAGATTCTTGTAGCTTATTTTTACACAACATAGTAAAGACATATTATAGTTTCATATTATTATTGCTTAATATACCCATTTTATACATATAAACATTGAAAGTAACCCATACTTGTAGAGATGAAGTCTTATTATTATGATAGAAACAAATATTTGTTATTATCTACATAATTACCTATTAATTAGTTTGAATAGATATTGGAGTCGTTTATCATCCGTCGTTGTCGTCCGTTTTACAAAAATCTTCTCCTCTGAAACTACAAAACCCAATTTTATCAAACTTCAAAATCATCCAACGGTTCCTCATTGGATTGATTGTTCTTCAAAGACGATTTTTACTATTTGTAAGGTTTTTGCCTTAAATCTTAAAAACTATAATAGATAGATAGAAGTTTATGTACCAATAAAAGGATCAACAAGACAAAATCTACAAATAAGCCAAATGTATGAAATATTTCGACGACTCCTTATTGGGCTGTTGTACTGTAATGACAAATTTTATCCATATGTAGTAGTTTTGCCTTTAAAAGAGGGACGAAAGATACCAGAGGAACAGTTAACTTGATAGCCATAATGAATAGATAGACTTAAATTAGCAAACTTATCAGTACAACAGTATCTACAAAAAAGTAGTATTTTGCTGAAATCTTAAGAAGGAGTGACTGCTCTTGAATAATGAATGGTTTACCATTTTTGTTTTCGGAAAAAAATAATAAAAAAAAAATATAACAAAAATACTAGACTTTAGAAGTTTATGTACCAATAAAAGGATCAACAAGACAAAATCTACAAATAAGCCAAATGTATGAAATATTTCGACGACTCCTTATTGGGCTATTGTACTGTAATGACAAATTTTTTTTCCATAGTTAGTAGTTTTGCCTTTAAAAGAGGGACGAAAGATACCAGAGGAACAGTTAACTTGATAGCCATAATGAATAGATATACTTAAATTAGTAAACTTATTAGTACAACAGGATCTACAAATAAGTAGTATTTTGCTGAAATCTTAAGAAGGAGTGACTGCTCTTAAATAATGAATGGTTTACCATTTTTGTTTTCGGAAAAAAATAATGAAAAAAAAAATATAACAAAAATACTAGACTTCAAGGCAAATTAAAAAAAGGGGGAAACTGTATAAAGTAATAATGATCAGCAGTACAAGATCAACAAAAATACATTTTTTTCAGATATTCTATATAGTTCATATGAAATACAACCAGGGGAAAATTCAGATGACGATTATGATTATCCGAATTATAAATCCGGGATTAATACAGGTATAAGTTATAGTATATTTAGAATAAACGGAGGAAAACATATGTGGAATCACATAGCATGAAAAGGGGAAACCAATACATGTAATTCAGTGTTCCAAACTTTTTTATGGATATAAAAACAATCTTTAACAATATAAGAACTAATGAATCAAAATACAGTCATAGCCTTTGTTTCTTTAAATGTTGGTCTCACTACATGTACTAGTAAATCAACTTTAGTCTGAAAGGTTCATTTTTGTCTTACAATCATGTCAAAAGTCTGAACAATAAATGTTTAAGTCATGTTCAGTCTGTTTGTCTATTGTCGGTATTATTGACTGTAGTACATTCATTGCGGTTTAGACATTCATGCAGTCAATTCAGTACTTTTCTGTAGCTTTTCAGATAATTCATTTTAATGTTGATTTGTAAATCACAACTACTGAACAATTTGAACATAGAATAAACAGATCTTAATTGACTGCTAGTGAATTGTTGGAAAAGTACTGAAGCTACCGCTGTAGATACGTCTTAAAATTGACTGAAAATATGAAAATGACAAAAATAATGTAATGTTTAAGAGCTGTTGAGATTAAAATTGTTGTGTCAGACTAAATATTGTTTACTTGTATTTCAGAAATAGATTAAACAATATTACTCTTGACATAATTAGCATATGTGGCTTGTAAAGCAGACGGACGACAAGCGTTTATTAGTGATAAGGTTGCAGAAATTGCTCTTAAAAATTTAACCAAAGCCGTCATGGGTCGATTGACATATATGTATCACCGATGACCGGTAACACATATATATGTAAAGGGACATGTATATATATGTATATACTCCAAAGATGAAACAACATAACGCCAAAAAAAGCTAGCGACATCTATAGGACTAAATTCACTTTTACAAATCTTACTTACTTCTTCGGAATATGTCTGTTTGAAAGCAGAATAAGTAGTGTGCGTTTCTCATGTCATATACACATCAGATAAAAAACAAGAGTTGATGGGTTTGTTTTCAAAGAGGAAGGAAGAAAGGACCAAACGCACCATCCACAATCTGGGTTAAACTCACAATATAGGTTTCGACCTGCAAGTGATCACAATAGATGAAACAAAGGCGCTTTAAGCTGATGGAGTTGTGGAGTAACAGAAACACATTCCAAATTTGCATGTTGATGCATTTATCTTAAAGAACACCCATGACTGTCGCCGTAAGACAAATATAACACAATTGCTCTTATAAATACGCAATAATTGTTAACGCTTACTTATATGTATCTTATTAAGTTACAATCGTCAATAATGCCAATGTACGCAAATGCATAAGTTACTTATAATTCTAATTTTTTTTTTATTTTACTTTTTTCTAAAAAATTTACTTTTGGTTTTTTTTTTTTTGATACCTCGAAGGATATTATAAAGGCAAACTACATATATGTTAGGCATTACATAATCTTTACTTTGTAAGTTTATCCTGTGTCATCCTTTGTTATAAATGTACTGCAGTTATTCTGATACAATACATTACAGTATTATATAATTTCAGACTATGTGAACGTACCAAACAAATTGTCGGAGAAAACGTACTATGAAGAACCTATTTACGAAGATATAGGTGAGGGTATGAGTTAAATTATTTACAATGCAGTACATTGACAAATACATATATCAATACAACATTATTCCTTAACATAGTACTAACATTTTTTTTTGCTAAATACTTATACAATATAACTTTCATTCTGTTGAGGTTTATTTTGTACCTTCAAATATACAAATAAGAAAGAAGAGTCAAATCTGTATTCATCGTCTGGACCGACGAAAACAGCCCTTTCAAGAGTGGTGACCATTAAGTTAAGGGTCAAAATATATAGGTATTTCTACAACGCGATAAAACGAAAGTAATGTAACAAGACGTGAATGTGTTTACAGGTATGACCTTTCTAAGGTTCGACTGACATAACGTGTATTCATTGTACATGGTACCACTACTAGTACTAAATGCAATAACCTTTATTCTTCCATTAACTATGTCAAAAACAATTATGAATATTTCAAATTTATCATAGACGCAATGCGGCATTCAGATCTTCCTTTCTTATCTAATCAACCTGTCACACAAGATATCGTATCAACAAAAAATTTAATATACAATTTGAACAATTCTAAATTTACAGCAATATCAGATGAAAAAGAAAACAATATCCAATCCTTCTTTTTCCAATTTAAAAACAGGCAGTAGCAAAAACGATTTGTTATGCATTCTATCAAGTCTCGCATTCATTGAAGAAAAAGTAAATGGCGTTTTGAACCTTTTATCGATTATGAAACAAACTACATTATGGCGTTTTGAACCTTTTATCGATTATGAAACAAACTACATTCAATTCTCCTTCCGATTCGAAAGCTCATTTCATGTCTAAGTATTTTTATAAACCGGTGTTACGAATCACAAATGTAATTAATAAAAAATTATTAATTATTATCGAGATAAGCTTGACATGTATCTGTCATATCGATTCACATTTAAGAAGATGACACAAACTAATACTACTTTCAAAAACCATTTTGAACATCAAAAGTAAAGGTAATTAATTCTTAATGAAGTTATAAATATAAGTAAAAACTGCAGCATCAAAAAAGTTAGATCTTATTACAGAATGCATGTGTACTCTCACTCTCAATGACGCCTCCCTCACATTTCACAAAACAAGCTTTAAAACTTTTTGTCCCTTTTATGTTGCAAAAGATGTGTATTTCAAAAGTAAACATAGTCTCTGTAAATATGATAAAGGTATTATCTAAATCTACATTTAGCCAAAAACAGACCATTTAAACTGGTTTCGATTTCTAAACTTTACGAAATCGTGTGAACAAGGGATAAAAGCTTATAAAAAATTAAGTATTAGATTTAAAAATCATTATCTGTAGTTTTTTTTTTTCAAATTTGTCTGTGGTTAATATGTGTATGTTAGACATTCAGACGGAGGCCAGTAATACATAACTGGTCACTCATCTGATGTAAAAAAAATATATCTGGTTTTCTTTGGTTTAAATCTAAAATGAATATTAAAATTCTTATTTTTATGTTTTAAAATCAAAGTTTGTTTTTAAATATTTGTTTTCTTTTAACCATGCTGCATACCTATTTTGCAAGTTATGGTATCTGGTTTTTCTCTGCATTTTTCAAACTTTAAAGTCAAATACCATGCAGACTAAAAGTAATTTGTTAGTAACATCTATGTACAAATTGTAGACAACTTCAAACAACTAAGAATTGTAATGGTTGGAAAGACTGGATCGGGTAAGAGTGCAACTGGTAATGCTATCTTTGGACATAAATACTTCAAATCGAAAATTGCAGGTCTGTCTGTTACCAAAGAGTGTAAACGTGGTGAAATCCAAATTAATGATCGCAAAATCATAGTAGTTGATACTCCCGGATTGTTTGATACCAAATTATCACCTATAGAAATTGAAGAAGATATCATTCGTTGTGTTCATATGACTTTTCCAGGACCACATGTATTTCTACTGGTGCTCCAGATTGGTAGATTCACTAAAGAAGAAATTGAATCCCTAGACCAGTTATTTGACATATTTGGAATGGAAATGGAAGCTTTTTCGATTATTCTGTTTACTAGAATGGATGAATTAGAAAGTCAAAATGATACTGTTGAAGATTATATAAAAGAATCAGGCTCACCATTAACAGAGTACATAGAAAAATGCCGTGGTCGTTATTTCGCTATAAACAATACAGCTACAGCGGAAAATAGGGCGGAAATGATTAAACAATTATTGAATTTGATAGACACAGTGGTCAAACAAAATCAGAACATGTGCTTTTCAAACAATATGTTTATAGACGCCAAAGAAAATGTTCGTCAATCACGGATACAAATAGAAATGGAAAAATTTAATGAAATTGAGCAAATTGAAAACATGTACGGAAAACAAGTTGACATAAATCGAGAAATAAAGAGACAAAAACAAGAAGAATTTAATCTACAAGCAGAGCGTAAAAACAAGCTTGAGGAACAGAAGAAAAGGATAAAAGATTCTATTTTGTCTAAAAGTGGCGAAGATGAAAGCAGTACTGCTGGGTATACAGTTGGACCTGATTCGGAAGAAATTGAAGGCCTTTATAACGAAATTGTCAAAGCCAATGACCTGTTAAAGGAGAAAGAAAGAGAGAAAAAAGAGGCAGAAGATGCTTATGATACGGTGAAGGGAGATTTCCAAGAGTTGGTAAAAGAAACTAAATCGAAACATAATCAGCGAATGTTAGCATTGAAAAACACCGACTTTTATGGTAAAATGAACTCAGCAGTTGAGGAAATGAAAGCAATAGACGAAAGACTCAAAGAAATTTCGAAAGAAATGAACGACGAAGGAAATCGCCAAAATATGATCATCCAACAACAATTACAGAGAGAGGAAATCGAACTGCATTCAAAAATGGATAAAGTATTTTATGATCATCGCATGTATTTAGAAAAAATGAGAAAAAAGTCGAAGAAAATGGAAAAAAAATTGACGAAAAAAGGAAAATTGTGTCGTGTTATGTAACTTAACGAAAAAAAATAGAGAAATTAAGAAATTCGGCTACTGAAACAAAGTCAGACATATATATTGCCAGACAAGTTAACATTAGCCAACATGTATATCAATCTGAAATAAGAACGACTAACGGCAGCTTTCCTGACGTCGGTGTACAATTACATGAATTAATCACATTGATTTTAATCACACAGTGCATGCTTCGATAAATTCCTAAGTCCCTTTTTCGTTACCAATTACCTGTATCACTTTCTTAGTAATTTATCATCTCTGAATTTATAATATTTTTTTCTACAGACAACTTCCACCAATGAAAACTAACCGCCTTGATATAGCCGAGTGTGCCTAAAGTGGCGTTTAACAGCAATAAAAAATCAATCAATCCATAAATATTTCTAGAATGTATTTGAATAAAAATAAGATTCAAACTTGCGTTGATAAGAGTAAACGCCGATAGGTTTACCAATGTTGTAGTTGATTTATCGAGAATGAGTACTTGTAAGCACAGTGCAGTTTACCATATATGCGAATCTGTCTCTACTGGAATAAATCAGAATCGTACAGCAGTATGAAATTCGTGCCATCGAATAAGGTAATTTCAGAAAAGAGGGAAGTCCAAAAGACCTGTCAAATCAAACTCTTGACAAACAGAAAATTCACCAGTCACGCTCAAATAAAAAAAGTCAGAAAGGCCAAATAAAGTACGATGTTGAAGAGCATTCAGGACCCAAAATTCCTAAAAGTTTTTGCCAAATACAGCTAAGGTAATGACAAAATTCAGTAACATTTTAGTGCTGTTTTATTATCATCATAGAAAACGTTTGGAAAATATTTTTTTGCGCCATACACTTTAATGTGATTATGATGTTTTTCTCAGGCTTATATCCAGTTGAAATAAAGAAAACGAAAGTGAACTCTTCATTTAAGAAGGTCATAAGTCCAAGTTGGTATATTTGAATTGGTTACATCTGTTTTTTAAGGCTTTTAAAGTTTAATGCATGTGCACATTTTAGGATTTTATTCATCTTATATACGTGTTTTTACTTAAATCATAGTATGGAGCTTCGAGATTTTTGTTAACTTCAATAAAATACAAATTTTTACACAAAACAGTCGATTATGTTAGGTATGTAAATACATGTGTATCTTTTTAGTGCATGAGCATAAATTCCGCCGATACAAAAAACAACAGAGAGACAAAGCAAGATTGATTTTTTTAAAGTAAAAATATACATTTCAGTCCCCGGCGATAGCAATTTTAAAAATGGGCAAAAATTTCAAGGAAATTCGAAGTCGAGTATACCTTTTTATTTTCAGGCCTATTTGACTTGACTAATTTGTCTTGAAAACGTATTAAGCAATAATAGCGCTGTTTATTTGATTTTTGTGTGTTTGTTTTTTTGTGTATTTTTTTATTTCGTGTCATGGATTGATACTCCATATCCTTTGTTTTTCTATTTAAGCAAACATATTTGATACATCATCTCGCTTCGAATGTGTTTTTTTGTATATTAAGGCTACAGGTTGATATAATAACATTCAAAACTCACATTACTGAAAAATGAAATATATGGGTGAAGTGAAATACCTTTCTTAAGAGTCATACCAACACAATACATTTAATCATTTTTTTTTCTTTCGAAAATCCCCCTGAAAACCGATCAGACAGTATTTCAAAGTTGACTGAAGGCCTAAGACTACACTAAACTATGCTTAATAGCCAGTAGATACATTTGCCTTTTAAAATACAACTGGCATAAAAGGATCATAATGTTTCTTTGGGGATAAATTTATCGGTTTTCAACAGCTAAATTGACAGAGCGTCATCACTACAATGGCTTCGATTTTACCGATTGAAAAAAATTTGGTGGCGTAATTGGGAGATAGTTTTGACGAAGTAGAATCCTGACTGTCTGCGATATTTTTACATTTTTCAAAATGTTTTTAAAACATAAACAACATTTGCTTGTGTAAATTGGGATGCCAAGTTAGGAATATGACAGTCGTTTGGCAATCGTCCTGGTGATTGAAATAGTCGACATTTGATGTTGTCTGGTTTTATTGATTTTTCCGTTTTGAATTTAAAGTGGAGTTCAGTATTTTATAAATACTTTTTTTGTTTCTCATATATTGTTTAATATGTAGTGTTTCTACTTCTTTTGTCGGCTTTTTTGTTTAACTGTTGAATGTAGGTTGTACTTCTGTAAATATAGACAATGCAATTTCCCATAGAAACCTTTTATATGGCTAAAACTGTGCCACTTTTACAATGAAGTTTTGTAAAACACCATATGCCCTTCTATATTTTGCAAAGGTCAAAACATAGAGTTGTACGGCTTATTTTCAACGTTTATACGGCTTGAACTTCTAAGAGTTTAAAATTATACTAAAATTCTGTACTTCCTTTCAATTTACTTCGAGTTTTCCTGAGAGTTCAATTTGTCCACTATCGAACAGTTATGATTCTGGTAAAATTCTCAAGTTATGAATCTATGAGATGAAACATGGTGATCATGTCTGGGAACCAGTAGGCAAACAAAACAAAATGTCGATGTATATTGAATATCTCAAAATAAAAAGAGGCGTGGTTTGTGCAGCAGCTGTATTTACAAAGTTCAACCTGTATGTTTTTCTTTTGTTATGAGTTTTGATTGTCATCTTGATATTTCCAGTTGTTTTCTCTTTCTTTTGTAAGCAAACGAAATGTAGTTTAAAACACACGAAGAGAGAGAGTATCAAGAGAGCCATTACCTTTGATAAAACAACACGAACCGACCAAACGCCGTAGGGGAACTCATTCTACCACTTTTTTCTCATCTCTGTTATGCGGGAAAAGTTTATTTTGTCATTATCATTTAACTCAAATATTCAATTTCAATCAAATATAATGTGCATATTACATGCACATAGTAAAACAAAAGACATGCGTACATGCAAAATAGAAAAGCTGAATGAACTTGAATAAGTTAATTAATAACCTTTTTCTTTATTTCTTTTGACATATCAAAATTTTAATAGCATTATATTTAAATAAATAATTCACAAAAAAGCTTACATGTGTCAAAAAAAAGCTTACATGTGTCATAAAACAATCAATTTGAAAGGAAGATATGAATAAACAACCCCCTAGCTAATATATGCATTATTTGATAAATTATACAATCAAAATATAAATAATATTATCATATTAACAATTATCAATTATCTCTTAAATAAGCACAACAACTCAATCCGCAAATTGTAAATTAATAGCTAGACTATTGAAACAGGTACGTTCAATTGTTGATTATACACGATAAATGTATGCACTCTCAAAGGTTTTTCTCTAGCAACCACTTTTTTATATTATGATAATTCCTTTTGCTCCATTTGTTTCTGATGTTCGATAGTTCTAACCCTGGCTTATGATTCAATTTCATCATCTTTGGTGAATCTTTAATTAAGTACGCAAACTGAAACATAAAGATGAATGTGAACAGGAGTACCAGCCACTGTTTACGGAACAAAATTTATCAATCGGGTATGGTGCAAAATTTTGGGTATCCTAAAATGTAAAAACGGAGAGCAAACATCCCAACATCTTTAACAGAACAACAAAAACACTAAACTTTGGTTTCTAAGATGATTTTGTTGGTAATTACATTAGAAGATTAAACGTAAAGAAGGCTATCGGTATCAATGAAAAAGTCCTTGACATTTTGCAAAACAGGTTATTACGAAGCCTGTAACGAAATTTAAAGTAGGCAACCGCCGAACCCGCACCATTTTATACAATCACTAAAAATCTATTCAAACAGTGAATCAATGCATAGAGAAGACCAAATATCTTAAACTAACACAACATTCTCATAGACCAAAATTGAAGAATCTGCTATTACTGCAGTCCAAATTTCTTACGTGAACCTTTTGTGCTGATTTTTTTTATGAATCCTCATCATATCTATATTTCAAGAGAAATTACAGAAATAAAAGGTGGTATCTATGATCCATAAACTAATACTTTCAAAAAAGGTCAATAAGTATTTATGTATAGATTATACACTGAACTATATCATATATTTCAAGTCAATGTCCATGAATTTAAAACTGAATTACATCGGTGGTCCCATGGTAGCGTGTTACCTCGATTGCGAGACATCGTGGGTTCGAACCCGGGTCGGTTCAAACCAAAGACTTTAAAATTAGTATTTGTTACTTCTCCGCCGAGCCTGCGGTATTAAATGGAAAAAATAAAGACTTGTAGGCTCGGAGTCAGAAAAATATTTCCAGGAAGTTTGACATGTCTTCCTGTGGACTGTTACCTTGTGGACTAGCAAATTTAACATCCGGCCAAGCTTGTTAGTCTAGTATAAAGCACGATCGATATTTATATTACAATAACATGTTTTCGTGCTGAATATGCATTTAATTTGCCTGTGGACGTTCAGCAGCCATCCGTCATCATCCTCATCATTATTTACAACTCGGTAGTTGTTGCTCTTGGTTATAAATCATCATCATCATCATCATCATCATCATCATCATCATCATCATCATCATCATCATCATCATCATCATCATCATCATCATCATTAAGCAAGTAATAATCAATCAATACTAGTTACTCTTAAAACCAGTCTTTTTCGAAGAAAACAGATAAATAGTTTGAGACTAAACGTAAACAAAAAAGTCTGAATTTGTAGTCTGTAGGCATATTGTTTGGGAGAGGTACGTGTTTTAGGGAATTAAATTACCTGTAAACTGTAAATTTTCAGCATTATACAATTTACATTAGGTATTTAAAAGTACTGACTACCTGCCAGATTGCAAGAAATATTATATTCCAAACAGGTCTTTGAATACTTTTGGTAATTGATTTTGATGAAATGATAAATCAAGCGTGTATGTATAAGATAGTATGATAGCAACAAGTTTACACGACAAACGTTACTTATATGTTAACATGCGCTACATGTCTATAAACAATCATATTTACTATATGACACGTGTTTTTCTTTAGGAGTTAAATGTTTGCGTTGTCACGTGCAAAAGCGGTCGCTAGGATTTTTGAGTGCTTTTTACTTGTACTTAATTGTGATTTTCGTGTACAGCGTATTTCTTATTCTATCAAATACAACAATATCTGCATTCAAAAAGCTAAAGGAGTAGGGCCACGAAGGGTTAAAAACGGCCCTGTCTCAGAAATTGACAAAATTACTGCAGAAGGATCACTTACTAGTGTAGTTCATAAAATGATAATCATTAGACTTATAACTGTGTTTGTATAATTTTCCAGGGCGTCAGAAAAGACCAAGGTACAATGGTATTTTAGCCATTTTCGCGTAACGTTAGAAGTGTTTTCCTTAACGTTCTAGTAACTTTATAATCATTTTACCACAAGAATGTATTTACAAAATATTTCTTGAATCTCGTCCATATACATTGTTTTTTTAACACTATTAACCGAAACTTAGTAATATTAAAGTGTAAGCTGCACATAAGCACTTCAATTAAATTTTGTATAAGTTGCCCAAATACTCGTTTTCTGCATTGATATTCACGAAATAGAATTTGCAGAGACCATGTAAACAAACATAATTCTATAGCATAGATTAAATTAAAAGTCATAAAGGATTTTAAAACATAAGCAATGAATGTCCTCTATTGGGCAGAAGGAATTTAGATTGAAAGCTGTAAAATATCTTGGCGAGCGAGGTACAGTGTGGTAAACAATGTATGAGGATAGTTGATCACACCACATCATCTTATATATGGAAAGAAAAAAAATTATTCTTCTAATAAAAAAGTAAAAGATGAAAACACAGATAAAGATAAACAATGTGTATAGACAGTACATAGCATTACATGTACTTCAATAACCATAGAACACAATATAATTGTACAAAAGTCATCAGACACCAGAACCACACTTGCACTCATAAATATCATTCTCATTCTGGAGGATTACTCTCAAATCAACATTCAGTATTAAACATTTGAATGAACGATAGTTTCATATAAAACTGCCATTCCTACGCCAATGACCACATTACATAGTACTGCTGTCTCTAGTTGTACCTAAAGCGCATGAAATATGTAGTCACCTGTATAAAGTGAAATATAATTCATTCAATGAATCCTTTTTGTATTTCCCCAGAATTTTTGCTAGACAAAGTAACAGTTTAAAGACAGTGGCTATTTTGCCGGAGCCGCCAAAATTGAAAATATGCTATTTTGCCAACTCTCGGTAAGCGGAAGCCAGATGCCAATAAAACAATTTGTTTACAGATATGCAATTCAAAACGGACTACTATTTCAAAGCAAATTTAATTTAAACATTTTTGATTTTGAAGCTATGCGATTGATTTTTTTAGACTGTATAACGTTTTTATCAAATCTATATGCTATGAGATTTTTATCTTTCTTTTTTTTTTACACCATAGTTTAAAAATCTGAGATTTTATTCTATGCATACATGTACATGTAGCATTACACTGATTCAAACAAGTAATTTCAACTACATGTTTGATATGATATCATTGCTACAAATGGATGCTCAATAGTTTTTATATTTATTTCTTTTTACAAATTCTTATTTCACTTGGACTCAAAAATGTTTTTAAACGATTAAATGTATCTCAAATATTGTGACACTTATTTCATTCAACTATATGTCGAATAATAATTAGATTATTTTATGTTGACAATGCACATTTACGTAGTATTTTTCAAAAGTAAATATTAAAATTCACTCTTTACAAAGAACCGGCAAAAAAAACAAATGCACTATAGTGCCGGCGCAGGCAAAATGGCCGTTGCTATCTAAATATGCTATTTTGCTTGTTTTAATCTATAAGATTATGTAATCAAAGACGACAAAATAGCATATTTTTTATTTTACCGGCGCCGGCAAAATAGCCACTGCCTAGTTTAAAAAACTCAAAAATTTTACAGAATACTCATTCTCAATTGTCCATTATGAACGATTTCATTTAGCGATTGAGCTATTAAATTCAATTGAATCTATCCGACTTTTGCATGTTTCTATCAATTACGTTTTAAAAGAACAAATACTTTTATTATTTTATGATTCGTGTTCTCGTTATATGGACATTCGCTACGAGATATAGAATTTTTTTTTTTTTTGTTCAATAATTAATGAAAGTGAAATAGTTAAATAATAATTCAATATTAGCAGCCAGTTTTTTTCAGTTTTGTCAAAATAAGCAAAGAAACATCGCTGATGAATTATTAACTTGCAATTGAACTTCAATTGAACCACTTAGCTAGAGATGGGTTACGCATGAACTAGGCGTGTTCAGCTATGAAAAGAAAAAGAATGTCACATTGGAAATGAAACAAGGGTAAACTATTTGGTTGACTAGTTCAATCTACAAAAACTCATTCTTATACAGGAAAAAACGATTATCAACATATTGATTTAACCTATAATATGAAATCAAACAGATCTAGAAAATCCAATTGCACGAGACTCACTATCTATTTATATCTATTTTTATGTTTATAATGGGTTATGTGACCGTCGGCAGTCTTCGGAAGGTCGCCTCGATGGTTAATTAGATGGCGTCTAGACTAAAATATAGTAACACAGTACACGAAATGCCGATACATACTTTCGAGTCTATGCATCGTAAATTGTTTATGTTATGCTTTTTTATATTTGGATACATGTTTTAGTATGTTAGAAGTCGAATATGAGAATTTGAGTCAAATCAGTGAACATGAATTTGACAGTTAATGCCCCCTTAAGTTTTAAACTGAACTTCTTTTTTAAGGTTTTCACAATATTCAATTTATTCTTAATTAGTTTTCATCTTTTAATCTTAACTAGTCTTGCTCGTGGTTAAAGTGTTCCGGTATTCCACATACAACTATCATTCTTATCTCTAAAAAATTCGAGTGTTCTTTGTTATTATTTTTCATTATCATTCGGTCAAATTAAAAAGATTCATGCCTCAATCCGTATGAAAATAAGAAGATATCATTGCAAAGGAGACATCTTTCAACCAAGTATCGAATGACGTGCATGGATTCATTTTAAAACTTAGTATAATAGAAATCCCAGAATATCAGTATTTGGCGTTGATTGTACATGTAATGATATAAGCTGCGTCCATTCAAGTAATGTATTATCCATTACTATAATTGCTATACAAGATCAATTATTTTCGTCTATATTTTTGTTTTCTTTAAATTGAAATGAAATGTGAACTATTTCTTATGGATATATTATACTAACCAGTAAAAATGTTTTTAAAAAGGTTGATTAGTTGCAAAAAAGTACGATATAAACAAATAGGTTTCAAAAAGATGAGCAAGAGGAATACTGAGATAAACGTCAATGACAGTAACCTACATGTAACAATGATAAAATTGATATTCTATTCTTCACCTACACTCTGCTCACGTCACTTTCGTCTATGGTATGTGGGATAAATACTGCATCTTCAAG